GAGACAGGGTTTCACCATGTTGGCCAGGCTGGTCTCGAACTCCTGACCTCAAATGATCTGCCTGCCTTGGCCTCCCAAAGTGCTGGGATTACAGGCGTTAGCCACTGCACCCAGCCGGGAATGTGTTTTATTCATCTTTGTGTCCTGGTGTCCGGTATGGAGCCTGGAAAATGGGTTTCTAGACCGACAGATTAAGGGGTAATTAAAATTTTTTTCATTAATATTTGAATTTCCATACCCTGGCCATGTATTCTTTGAGTAATTTTTTTTTTTTTTTTTTTTTTTTTTTTGAGACAGTATCTCGTTCTGTCGCCCAGGCTGGAGCGCAGTGGCACAATCTTGGCTTACTGCGGCCTCGACCTCCCAGGCTCAAGCAATCCTCTCACCTCAGCCTCTTGAGTGAGCCGAGATCACGCCATTGCACTTCAGCCTGGGTGGCAAGAGCAAAACTCCATCTCAAAAAAAGAATGACTCCTTAGTTTGAAGTTAGAGCAAATGGTGGTGCCTATTTCTGGAATGGGGAAGACGAGAAGGAATAGGTTTGGCCTATTGAGTGGCCACGACTACAGGAGTTCGCCATCACACCCAGCTAATTTTTGTAGTTTTTGTAGAGACGGTTTCATTATGTTGCCCAGACAGGTATGAGACTCCTCCTGAGCTTAAGCAATCTTCCCACCTCAGCCTCCCAAAGTGGTGGGATTACAGGTGTGCGCTACCACGCCCAGTGGTATATTTAAAATAACAAAAGCTGGCAGAACACGGTGGCACATACCTATAATCCCAACACTGTGGAAGTCTGAGGCAGGAGGATCACTTAAGCCCAGAAGTGCAAGACCAGCCTGGGGAACATGGTGAGACCTCAACTCTAAAAAGTTTTTAAAATCAGCCAGATGTGGTGCTGGGCACCTATAGTCCCAGCTACTTAGGAGGATAAGATGGGAGAATCACTTGAGCCAGGAGTTTGAGGCTGCAGTGAGCTGTGATTGCACCCCTGAACTCTAGCCTGGGGGATAGAGCAAGACCCTATCTCTTAAAAAAAAGCAAAAAAAAAAAAAAAACGAAAACAAAAGGTTGGGCGCGGTGGCTCACACCTGTAATCCCAGCACTTTGGGAGGCCCAGGCAGGTGGATCACCTGAGGTCAGGAGTTCGAGACCAGCCTGACCAACATGGTGAAACCCTGTCTCTATTAAAAATACAAAAATTAGCCAGGCATGGTGGCGTGTGCCTGTAGTCCCAGCCACTTGGGAGGCTGAGACAGGAGAATCACTTGAACCTGGGAGGTGGAGGTTGCAGTGAGCCGAGATGGCGCCATTGCACTCCAGCCTAGGCAACAAGAATGAGACTCCATCTCAAAAAAAAATAATAGAGTGGGCACCCACAGTGGCCAGCACTGGGCCAGGAGCCAGGATGTGCGCTCTATAAGACTCATGATCCAGTGGTACCCCATGTTAGAGAGTGAGGTGTGGCAACTGCTGCCTTCACACACTGCTGGTGGCAATGTGATCTATTCCAGACACTTTGGAAAATAGGTTGCAGTTTTTAAAAAGCTAACCATCCTCTTACCATGGGAGCCAGCAATTTTACTTCTGTTATTTACCCAAAGAAACAAACAGGTACGTCCACACAGGATTGCCCCTGAATGTTCATTTCAGCTTTATTCATAATAACTGTGACTGGAAACAACTCAAACACCCGTGAGCAGAGAGACTGTTCACAAACCATGGCACATCCCTGCACGGAACACCAACAGCGGGAGAAGCAACTGGCACACACAGCTGCCTGGACGACTCAGAAGCACGGTGCCAAGGGAAGCCAGACACAGAGGAGCACTGCCTGCAGGACCACGTTACATGAAATTCTAGATCCGGCTGAGCACATTCACAGTGACGGGAAACAGATCCTTGGTTGCCTGCCAGGGTGGGGGTGGGGGCTGACTGCCAAGGGGCATGGTGGAAATGTCTGTATTTTGATTGTGAAAGTGGTTATAAGGGTGTATACACTTGTCAAAATTAATTACATTGTACACTTAAAAGGGATGCCTTTTACTCTATGAAATTATGTCATAATGAAGTTGATTTAAAAGAAAAGACCCTGTTGGCTGGCGCGGTGGCTCATGCCTGTCATCCCAGCACTTTGGGAGGCCGAGGAGGGCGGATCACGAGGTCAGGAGATCAAGACCATCCTGGCTAACATGGTGAAACCCTATCTCTACTAAAAATACAAAAACTTAGCCAGGTGTGGTGGCGGGTGCCTATAGTTCCAGCTACTCAAGAGGCTGAGGTAGGAAAATTGTCTGAACCTGGGAGGCAGAAGTTGCAGTGAGACAAGGTTGCACCACTGCACCCAGCCTGGGCGACAGAGTGAGACTCCATCTCAAAAAAAAAAAAAAGAAAAAAAGAAAAGGCCCTGTCCCTGCTCTTATGAAGCCAGGGGTGGAGGACAGGGGTGGAGGACAGGGGTGAGGGGTGTAATTCGAGTTATGACAGAAATGCACGTGGAGTCACAATCTGTGATGAAGCCACAGGGACTCTGAAGACATCACAGTGTGAACTGGCAGCGTTTGGTTGGCAGTGGGGCAGGGGGCTGGGGCCGGAGGGAGAGCCCCAGGGTCGGAGAATGGCTTGTGCAGATGCTGTGCATAAAAGATAAGGACTTGTAAAACAGAAAATTTAGGCCGGGCGCGGTGGTTCACGCCCGTAATCCCAGCACTTTGGGAGGTCGAGGCAGCGGGATCACCTGAGGTTGGGAGTTTGAGACCAGCCTGACCAACATGGAGAAAACCCATCTCTACTAAAAATACAAAATCAGCCGGGTGTGGTGGTGCATGCCTGTAATCCCAGCTACTTGGGAGGCTGAGGGCAGGAGAATTGCTTGAACCGGGAGGCAGAGGTTGCAGTGAGCCGAGATCGCGCCATTGCACTCCAGCCTGGGCAACAAGGGCAAAACTCCGTGTCAAAGAAAAAAAAAAGAGGAAAGAAGGAAAAATTAGCCGGGCACAGTGGCATGTGTCTGCAGTTCCAGCTACTCGGGAGGCTGAGGCAGGAGGATTGCTTGAGCTCAGGAGTTCCAAGCTGCAGTGAGCTATGATTGCGTCACTGCACTCCAGCTTGGGCGACAAAGTGAAACCCCATCTCTAAAACAACAACAACATAACAAAAATAAGGACCCAATGCAGGAGCCCCAAGAAGCCAGCCTGCTGAGGGGAACGTTGGGAAAGGTGGGGAGGGGAGTTTCAAGACAACAGAGATGGGGTCCAACCTGGGACAGATCATTACCCTTGTCACTAGCATCATGATCATCACTATAGTCTTCCTCTTATCACCAAAGCAACACCTCTCCAGTATAGAAAAAAGCAGATAGGCAAAAAGAAGGAAAAGAGTCGGGCGCAGTGGCTTACACCTGTAATCCCAGCATTTTAGGGGGCCAAGGGAGGCAGATCACTTAAAGTCAGGAGTTCGAGACCAGCCTGGGCATGATGGCAAACCCCCTCTCTACCAAAATTACAAAAATTAGCTGGGCGTGGTGGCACGTGCCTGTAATGGAATCCCAGCTACTCAGGAGACTGAGGCAGGAGAATCGCTTGAACCTGGGAGGAGGATGTTGCAGTGAGCCGAGATCGCTCCGCTGCACTCCAGCCTGAGCAACAGAGCAAGACTCTGTCTCAAAAAAAAGAAAAAAGAAAAAGAAAAACCTCATGCTTCCATCCACGATCCTGCCTCACTCAGATTTCTGGTATGTTCCCCTCCAGACCTTTCCTATTGATTTAGGCCTTGAAGGACAAAGAGGAGCTCACCAAGGAAGGAAGGTGCTTGGGCCTGAGGAGCAGCCTGGATGATGGTGGGTGGTGGAGTGAGCTCCATGCAGAGGATCCTGCTAGGAGTCCTGCTCCTCCATGCCCTGTGAGTTCCCCAGGACCAGGGAGAGAAGGCCAGGCCACAATCCCAGCCGCAGTTAGAGGTGCAGAGTGACTGGAGGGAGTGAGAGGGGAGGCGTTCCGGTATTGGGGCTTTGATGTACGAAGGCGCCACTGTCCGCCTGGATTCATGCCCTTGGGCTTACTCGCTCTTGACTTGCAAACCACAAAACAATTTTCTTTTTTTTTTGAGACAGAGTCTCCCTCTGTTGCCCAGGCTGGAGTGCAGTGGTGCCATCTCGGCTCACTGCAACCTCCATCTCTTGGGTTCAAGCAATTGTCCTGCCTCAGCCTCCCAAGTAGCTGGCACTACTTGGCACACGCCACCATGCCCGGCTAGTTTTTTTTATTTTTTAGTAGAGACAGGATTTCACCATATTGGCCAGGCTGGTCTGAAACTCCTGACCTCGTGATCCGCCCACCTCAGCCTCCAAAGTGCTGGGATTACAGGCGTGAGCCACCGCACCTGGCATCAAACCACAAAACTCTTAATTGCGTCCAGCAGTGAGTAGGCTTAGGCATCTTTTGGGAATCAGCCCCCACCCTGGGCACTCATGTGTCTTCCACATGGCCAGATTCCTCTCCAGGCAGTGCCTGCTAAATGTCTCCTGGGGTCTCCGACACCCCTATTGTCCTTCCCTCTGCTGGTCGCCACCACAGTAAAAACCTTCTGTTTCTAATCAGTGTCTTGACGCTTTCTTGGCCAGCTGGAAACCACAAGCAGCAGCAACCTGGGAGGCCTGGAGACAAGGGCCTGGTTTGGGACCCACTCTGCTGCTGACCTGCCAAGAGACCTGGGGGCAGCTGCCTCTTGGCACCCCGGGTTCTCCTCCACTGTGGTACTGTCAAGGAGAATGAAAGACTGTGGCATGCTTTCACTTGGCAAAGACCCTTCCCGCACTGCTGCACCTCCCGCCCCAGCACTGGGGGACTGAACTCAGCCCAGCTGGGGGGCACGTGCAAGGCCCTCCCCCTCAGACCCAGTAACCCACTCAGCTGTGGATACCTTTCAACACAGGACCCTCAGCGACGCCTCAGGGCCCTCGTCCTGCCCTGCCTTCCAGCAGGCCCCCCCCCTCCCCCCACCGAAGGCTTTTTGTTGCGGCTGCTGATTTGCTGCACAGTTTCGTTCTTTCCATCTGGGGTTTGGAAGAGCAGGTATTCCAGTGCTGCTTGTTAGAGCACAGTAAGGCAGAGGTGTTCAGGCCCCTTATGATACGTGCGGGGACCGCTGCAACAGCGTCTTGCAGTCGAGGAGAGAGTGGGCTCAACTCCGAATACAGCACGGGCAAGTGAGGATTTACATACAGCCAAGGAGCAGGATGGGGAACAGCAGATGCAAAATTACTAAGAGAAAGCACTGGGAGTAAGGGATGCGGGCTAAACCAGCCTAGCAGGATGCTTGCTGAAGACAGGCCAGGATGCTCAGACACTACCTGGGGGGCAGAGGGAATGAGTAATCTAATTGGATATCAAGGGTGGGGTTAACTGACTTAGAAGAGTTCTTTGCTAAAACTCGGCCATGCGCAGTGGCTCATGCCTGTAATTCCAACACTTTGGTAGGCTGAGGCAAGTTTATCACTTGCCTCAAGGATTGGTCAGGAGTTCGAGACCAGCCTGGCCAACATGATGAAATCTCATTGCTACTAAAAATACAAAAATACAAAAATGAGCCGAGCGTGGTGGCAGGCACCTATAATCCCAGCTACTTGGGGTGGCTGAGGCAGGAGAATCCCTTGAACCAGGGAGGCGGAGGTTGCAGTGAGCTGAGATCGTGCCACTGGGCGACAGAGTAAGACTGTCTCAAAAAAAGAGGAGTTCTTTGCTAAAACGAGATTTTACAAGGAAGTGCGCAGATGGGCCTTGGAGAAGTTTCTGAAGTTGACTAAAGATTGGCCAAGCAAAGAATCTCTGTCCATTCTCCTGGTCTGGTGGCATCAGGCAGTTGCTTTAGCTCTCTCGGTTCCTCTTTCCCCAGCTGTAAAAGAAGAACAGAACCGACGTGCAGGGCAGAGTGAGAACAGAGCCAGCCAGTGGGAAGAGGGCTCTCCAGAGCTTGGCACGGAGCTCACAGCAGGTGAGTATCTGTCCGTCCATCCATGCATTAATTTTTCCCATGTGTGAACAGCTGTGTGTCTAACGTTTGCCAGGAAAGTCACTTTAGACCAGCATAATTACTAACAAATTTCCCTTTCACTCTCAGAAATGTTCTGGCTTGAATGACAAATGGTATTGGTACCCTATTGCCAATGAACCACCTCAGTCCTTTCTCACTTTTTTTTTTCCAGACAGGGTCTCGCTCTGTCACCCAGGCTGCAGTGGCTTGATCTCGGCTCACTGTAACCTCCACCTCCTGGGTTCAAGAAATTCTCATGCTTCAGCCTCTCAAGTAGCTGGGATTACAGGCCTGCGTGACCACGCCCGGCTAATTTTTGTGTTTTTAGTAGATAACAGGATTTCACCATGTTGGCCAGGCTGGTTTTGAACTCCTGACCTCAAGTGATCCGCCTGCCTTGGCCTCCCAAAGTGCTGGGATTACAGGCATGAGCCACCATGCCCGGCCCCCTTTCTCACTTTGGAAGGAACTATTTACGTAAGTGCTTGTTTTATGTCACTTTACAGATTGGCAACCTGAAGGCGGGCGTGAGTCAGCATCCCTCAGTAGCAGGGAGTGAGTGGGAGCGGGGAAGGAGCCATACAGATTCCAGACGCACCTCAGATCCTGGTCGGTGTGCTTAGAATTCATCCCAATTATGTTTACATGTCATTCATTCACTCACTCATTTTTGTTTTTATTTTATTTTGATTTTTTTCTCTGTTTTCATACACCATTTCTGGCACCATATTTTTATTTGTAATTGAACAGCATCTTGCTCTGTTGCTCAGGCGGGAGGGCAGTGGTGCAGTCTCAACTCACTGCAGCCTTGACCTCCTGGGCTCCAGCAATCCTCTGGCCTCAGCCTTCTGAGTAGCTGGGACTACTGGTGCATGCCCCCATGCCCAACTAATTTTTTTTTTTTTTTTAAAGATTGGATCTCACGGCCGGGCGTGGTGGCTCACAGCTGTAATTCCAGCACTTTGGGAGGCCGAGGCGGGCGGATCACAAGGACAAGAGATTGAGATCATCCTGGCTAACATGGTGAAACCCAGTCTCCACTAAAAATACAAAAAAATTAGCCAGGCATGGTGGCGGGCGCCTGTAGTCCCAGCTACTCGGGAGGCTGAGGCAGGAGAATGACGTGAACCTGGAGGCAGAGCTTGCAGTGAGTCGACATTGCACCTGCCACCACGCCTGGCTAATATTTTGTGTTTTTAGTAGAGACAGGGTTTCACCACATTGGCCAAACTGGTCCGGAACTCCTGAGCTCAGGTGATCTGCCTGCCTCGGCCTCCCAAAGTGCTGGGATTACAGGCGTGAGCCACTGCACCCAGCCCATAAAGGCTGTTGTTTTT